ACAAGTACTTATCCACTTGCTCAGGCAAGAGAACTGGGAATCATCCTGATTTTCTTTTCTACATTTCTCATCCAAATTTACTAGTAAATCATATCAAGTCTTCAAAATATACTCTGAATCTTTTTTTTCTTTTTTTTTTTTTGAGAGTCGGAGAATTTATTGAAAGAAAGATATCATCTGTCTAAGAGAGATAGAAGGGAGACTGGAAAGTGAGTTGCCAGCTGACCTAACTTCTCAAAGGTATTTTATGGGACAAAGCCATGAGGTGAGGCAGGTTCAAGGTGGGACAAAACTGTAGACACCTAGTAGGATTACAAGTACAGTTGCTTAGGTAATGATCCAATAAGAAATCACAAGGTAGTCAAAACTATGAACAACCAATAATACTATGACATGTATAGTTGCTTAGGTAATATTTATTAAATGGGGATCCAATTGGGAAACAAGTCACATAGCAAACATACAAGGAATGAGCCAGGATTTTCAGTGGAAAGGGGTGGGTCAGGGATCTTTCTTGGAAGTTCTTTGTCCCCACCCAGGTGATTGATACTTATTTAGAATATCAATCACTGCTGTTCTTCCTACATGGGTGTGGTAGTTTCTCTCCTTTTACAATTCTGGCCTTCAGTGAATGTGTCTTGATTGTCCTCCATGTTGGCTCCTTAACTGTCCCCCATGTTGGTTCCTCCTGGGCTGGCCCTACCTAAAAGATACCTAATTTGCTTATCTGAAATATTCCCCCCTCTGAAAAAGTACCCCTAATTGGTGTGAGGGGCCAAAAGGTGAAAACCATTCTGGCTACTTGTGGCTGAAGAGGGTCAGAGTTGTGATCAGCAGTTAGAGTTACTCTACCGAGGGCTAGCTAGAGGCCCTTGATAGGTGCCAGGCATTGTCATTTTAGGTAGACTAATAGCTTGGAGTCTGGAGGAGACAAAGTCAAAGAAACCCTTAAGAATACATGGGCCAAATTATAAGGTCAGCAGGATTGTGATGAATATAGCCAACATGTGTTTCCACCAGGAGGAACTAGTAATAGCCTACCCCAAAGAGGATAAGGAGAAGATCCAGGGGACTTCAGAATCCAACATAGAAGTCATATTGTGTAGTTTAGCAGTTATGAGCTGTTTACAAGTTCGATCTAATAGATCCCAGTAAAACAAGTGTAGCACATTTGTCATTGGTTTCATTTGTATGACTCCTTGGAGTTTGGGAGCCTGTGGGCAAGAATAAACAAAACCTATAAGAAATTAGAGCATGCATAATCTTAGCATGAGCACACTAGAATGAAAGGGGAAGATGGGAGAAAGTCACACCTAGAAATTGAAATAGTAATTGTAACCTGCTGGCTCTTAGATTCTTTCATTGATAGAGGTTATCTATAAGTCTGATACTTTGTCATAATTCTCTCTAGTTTTAGCTCTGATAAGAGACAATTTGAAAAACAAATTTTACTAAGAAGTTTAAAACTCTAGCTGAGCTCTTATAGATTCTACCATAGTTTTTCCTAATGATCCATAACTATTGTCAGCTACGGATGTAGCTGCAAACTTACAGAAGGAGTCAGCAATTGGAGTCCCTTTTTATATATACCGTCTACATATTGCAAGACTGTGATTTGGGAAAAACTAAAGTATTTTCTTTTATCAAATCAGAATCCAGGGATGTCCTCATCTTTTTCCTGATAAATAGTTGACAATTTAAAATAATTGAAGGGCTTGGTTTTCATGTTTCTTAGACCTTCAACAATACATGCCTGAAAATGTCTTCTATTTAATCTCCTATCTGATTGGCAGGCCAGTGGGAGTCTTGTATAGGAACTGCTTGTGTTCCAGGAGGAACCAGTTGTTCCCCTGGCTTCCTGTCTTTTGAACTTCCAAAATTAAGATAATATTTGTCTCTACATGCCGTAGCAGCTTGTAATACTCCTTGTCTCTTATTAGAAATTGATGTTTGATTTAAGAGCAACATTACATCTTTTTAATCTAGTCCACAGGTATAAGTCTTCTAAAGACCTCAATGTACATATCAGGGTCATCTGAAAACTTTCTTAGGTCTCATTTGATCTGTCTTAGGTCACTGAGAGAAAAAGACACATGAGCACAGGTAGTCCCATATTTTCCATTTACTTCCTGCAAGGGATATTGTCTTTAAGGGACCTGAACAACTTAGCTAAGGATGGATATAGCCTCATGGAGGTCTCAATTATGGTTGGCCTAGAAACTTCACCCTCAGCACCTGGTGGTCAAGGTTTAAAGTTGTCTTGGAAACTTTGTTCTCAGGTTCTAAAGGGCACGGAGTAGCCTCAGGCTTGGAGGTACTGAATGTTTTAAGGGTGAAGTGTCTCTCATTTTTCTATGTCCCACATTTACATTTGAACATAAGCAAGAATTACTTCTTAATATAAAGTCTCAACATATGACTGATTTTGACCATTTTTTCCCTCTCTTACAGCAAAGACCAAAGTTAGAACATATGGAACAAAAGCAAACAAATTCTTACCTCACAGTAATCTCAGTGGAAGACTTCCAGAATGATATAGGGGGAAGAGATGTAACTCCCAAACCTACTAGATATATGAAACATGAGTTCATATTCTCTAAAATCAAAAAATGAATTCTAGGAACAAAAGAGTTGGAAAATTTATTGAGAGAAACATAGCTTCTGTCTAAGAGAAACAGAAGGGGGACCGGAAAGTGGGTTGTCCTATACTCTGAAACTTGACCATTTCTTGCTACTTCAACTGCTCCCAACATAGATCAAGGCCATCTTATCTTTGTTATAAACTATGGCAGAGTCTTCTAATAGGTCTTCCTGATTCCATTATTCTCTATCTCCAACACAACATTCTCCACTCAGCAGCCAAGATATCTTTTAGAAAAGTCAGTCAGAAAATATTACTTCCCATGCCTGAAATCTTTCATGACATCCCAGGACACTGAGAAAATCCAACTTTCTAAATGTGACCTGAACATTCTTCATAATATTCAAGCCACTATTTATTCCTACACCCTTCCAGTTTGTTTATTTTCTCTTCTCTGCCTACATTTGTTGCTTCTGGGTATGCTTATCTCATTTTTGTCTTGGGGCTGCTCTCAGAACTTTCTAGAACTTATTTCCCCTCTAATTTAGGTCTCTGTTCAGACTTTACCTTCTCATAAAACCTGTCTTGAGTACTTTATCTATGTCATTAATCTGTTTTTCTATCTCCCTTTTCCTGTTTTATTTCTACTCATAATAACTAATTTTATTTATTTATTTTTTATAATAACTGATTTTAAATCATCCCTCTCTTCCTCCAGAATGTAAACTGCAGGAAGACAAGGATTTTTGTCTAGAAGAATACCCCCCACAAAGGAGCAGATACTCAATAGATATGTGTTGAGTGAGTGAATGCATGAATGAACAATTTCAAATGTTTTCCCTAAAACAGACAAATTGCTATTCATGTACTTTAAAATATGAAAGCTGCTTTAAAAAATGTATTCTTTTAATGACTGAAAGAAAAAAATCCTCTCAAACTTTTAAACAAATGGACACAGCAGCCAGGCCTAGATCCCTGCAAGCCAGGAATACTTCACAGTGGCAAGAGAGGCAGTAACAGCACAGCTTACAACTGTAGAGAGAAAGTCAATTAAATGGAGAAAACAAATTTACATTTGCTGTTTGGATCCCTGGTGGAGAATCAGGGTGAAAGAGGTAGGTTTTACTCACCCAACCACAATGTTCTCACCCCTATGCCTTTTGAGCTGGAGTTGTTACATTTTATTTGGGCTTTTCTGAAGGTTGTTCTAGGGCTGCTTTGGCCCCAGCAGATATGATTAGTTTGTTTCCTTCCCTCATAGGTTTTAACTTACCACTGAACCCAAGTTTTACTGCCATTTTTCTTCCTCCATCTTGAATTCTAAAACTGACATTGCCTTTCTGTAGGATCCTGCACCATCCCCCAAAATGCAACCTTTTATCATATTTCTTACCTGGCCTATAGTCTAAGTATAAATACACTACCATCTCTAAAATAAAACCATAAAACCATTTCTTCAAATTAAAATATTAAAATTAATATTTTAATTTGAAGAAATAGCCAGGATTTTTCATTCAGTTGTAAAATTGTGCTAATGAGAATAAATAAAGTACATTTGATTTATATAATATGTAATGGACCTAAAAGTCATGCTAAGCAGTTTATCTAATCATAGCCTCAAATACATCTTTGGGTACTGACTGCATATAATTAGGAATAGGAATAAAAGGGCAAGAACTGAATTATCACATCTAAATTAACTACTCAAACAAGCAAACCTTTTGTGAACTGTCTTGGTCATGATATTGCACATCAGTACCCTCTAATGACATACTAGGACAAATGCTCAAAACAACTAATTCTTTCCATGGTTGGTAGGTTGGCCTTGAGCAGCAAAAGGCAACTGGATTTATTTTGTTCTGGCAGCAGCTCAGTGGGAACATAAACTAGCTATGCTAGGGAACAGAAGGCCTATGAAGAAAAAGAGGTTCTACTCATATACTATACTAAACCCTCAAAAGCCAACTACACTTAAACCAGAAGCAGTGTGAGTGGTAAACACTAACATTTTCAAAGAATTGTCTAATATTCATGGCAGAATCTATAAAAGGTGACTTTGAATAATCCTTTCCTAGCAAACCTGTAAAAGTTTTATAAAATATGCTGCAAAAAATGACTCACAGTAGATGTAATTACAGGGCAACCTTGGAAACTGATGTAAAAAATTCAGCTGCCAGCATGTTAACTGCCACCTAATATATGGGTTGTTTGATTGGACTCTTTGGGCAAAACTGCAAAATTCCTAACCCATAGCTGCTATATATTTTATCAGGGGCAAATTTAGCTACTTTCATTTTTTAAAATGCCATTTCACCACAGCGAATCAAGTCAGAATTGCTTAATTGCTTGCATACATTACAAGCTAATACATTTCCCCAAACAGTAATTTAACTACTTATTATTTATTTTTATTTTTTAGGACAGTGGTAGAGTTCTTATGCCTCAACTATAAAATTTGGCAAAATCATTGCTTTCTTAACAACAACAACAAACTGTAAGTATCAGCAGTGAAATTTCCTCTTTTATGTAGTCAGCAACTGTTTTTCTTTTGGGTTTTTTTTTTTTTTTTTGGTACTGGGGATCGAACTCAGGACCTTGTGCTCATGAGGTAGGCGTGGTGTCACTGAGATAAATCCTGGCCCAGCAACTGTTTTTCTTTAATGAATCTTCTCTAACTTACAGTTTGGCAAAAAAATTAATTTAGCTCCCATGTTTTGTTTTTAATTATAAGGAAGTATTTTGGAGGTGCAGAGAAAATCCCTGGGCAGTGTGCCACGGTTGAGCCCTGTACCTTCGGCCTTGGTTAGGATGATCAGCTATACTGTTAGAATATACCAAATGCATCAGCTTTTAAAAGACACTCCCTTATTATAAAATGTCCACTCTATAGTCATCATCATCCTAGTCTTTGGTCTCATGGGCTGTCACCTTTGGAAAACTGAATATAAATTTGGTGTTTGCAAAGTCGATTCTATGTTAATGTCACTGTAAGTGTTTGCTAGTTAAATGACCTTAACAATGAATCTTTCAGAAAAGAGACCACTCCACCATTTTGTAATGGAATAATAAGGTCATCTCTTCCCCAAACTTGGTAGGTATACAAATATAGCATTTTCTTCAAACCAACACCCATCTTGACCACAGGTAAAAGATTGGATGGTTAAAAAAAAAGCTCTATCAGTCTTCTTTCAGATTAATATTTAGAACTATGAGGATTATCCAAATACAGTAGCCACACAGAATGAGGTGAGCCCTCAATTTAACATGTGCATTGCATACCCCCTCTTTATTCTAATACTTAAATTGCAAGCAAGCAGGGATTTTATCTTGCTAATCTGTATACTTCAACAAATATTTATTTGTTCAGTCAAAACAATGCCTCATGTTATTATATGGTGTGCTCTGGCAGAACACATTTTGATTTACTTATAGGAAACTAAAATTAATTTCTAACTTAAAATAAAATGAAGTATTCCAAGAAGGAGGGTTAATGGTGAAACTTTCAAGCATATCAATAACAATTAAACCTCTCTGTTTTCAAAATTCCAAATTTCATAACTACAAGTATTAAAATCCAAACTGTTCTAAATAACGTCAGTCCCATAGAAACATACCTGTAGATGCTATATGAAATTGAATTTTCCAGGACTCGATGTAATCTATTTTGAGAATTAGAATTTTTTTTCATTAATTTTATTGGTACATTTTAGGTATACAATATATTGACATTCATTATTGGGAGTTTGTACCTTTACATAATATATCTTGGTTTTTATTTTTTTCCCCATTCCCCTGCCCTCCCTTCAACCCCTCCACCCTTCCCTATTTATAAAGACTTTGTTTCCATTTTTTTCTTTTTTCATATTTATTCCTTTCCCTTCTTTCCTTTCCCCTACCCCTACAACTTCCTCTTCCCCTTTGAAATTTTCTCCCTATTTCACATTATTATACACTTTGATCCTTATTTACACTTTCAGTTTTTCACACCAGAGAAACTATTTGGTATTTACACATGTGACCTATTTATTTCACTTAAGAGTATGGCTTCAATGCACATCCTTTTACCTATAAATGTCTCTAGTTTCTCATTCTTTATGGCTGAGTAGTACTCCATTTTATAAAAAAAAAAGCCACATCTTTATCCAGTCTCCAATTAGAGAATTAGAATATTTTGCCAGTACAGTAAAGTAGAGCAAATGCTCAGTTCAGAAGTCATTTCAACTGCAAACACTATGTATACCTTTAATTAGCTTACACATGTTTTCTTAGTTGTTGTGCTTAGTAATCAGAAGATCTAAGTCTTCTTAGCCAGCTAATCTTCATATATAATACTGAGCAACCTAAATTTCAGGATGGCAACTTCACTTTTGAAGTCTGTAGAATGTAAAAGATGTAGATCCCTTTGAGTTGCCAACAAAGTCCCAGATATCTATAGAAATCATATGCCTACAAAGTTTTAACATCTTTGAGATTCATCTTATCTCAAATAATTTGGGGACAGCTTTCTTATAGTAATAAAAACAATCAGATTAGTATCTAAAACAACATTAAGAGGACTTCTGTTACTGGATTTTCTAACATATATGCTAAAACGTTGACAATACAGAGCTTTCCCTCTTTGGTGTCCCCTAAGTGCTGGGGATCAAACCAAGGGCTTCATACATGCTAGGCAAGGACTCTGTCACTGAGGTATGTCCCAAGTCTTGCATTTCACTTTTAAAACTGATGAGCTTCAGGACATACTACCCTAAGATGTGGCATCTTGGCCTGCTGAATATTTTAAGCTCATTTGAAAAATGACAAGATGGAGCATCTGAACTTCTCAGGCCTTCGCCCCTGAGGGAAGTCATAAGCCTCCATGTGAGATGTGCCTGCTCATTCCCATACTTACTGAAAATAATGTTTTTATCATTGGCCACAGAGGGATAGTAAGACAAATTAGAAAGAACAAGCTTTGCTAAGTATCCCCTCAGTTTACTACACTTACTTTATACTCTGGGTCCTATCATACTTTTCATGACTTTTCACTTTTCATCAAAACCAACATAAAACATTTCAGAAGTATTCATTTTTCGAAAACATTTCTTCAAGTATTCATTTCCTTACAAAGTTGCCCTTGTCACGTAAAATTCATATTAAATGAAAGTGTGTGCTTTTCTCTTATTAATTTTTCTTTGGCAGAGGTCCCAGTCAAGAACATAGAAAGATGGAAGGAAGACATATTTTCCTCTCAGCAAAAACAAGAGTGAAGAATGATTTTTCTTCACCTCAAAATCATCAACCACAGAAGTACAAGATTCTGCATTGGCCTCCATTGGACATTCTATGGAGTTTAGAAGATGACAATAACGCTGTTGGTGTAACAAGGGAGAATGTAAAAAGAAATTGTATAACCCTCTGGTTCAAAATTATTTTAACAAGTGAATGATTAGTGATGTAATGTTAAGGATTACAACAAAAAGAATGTTGAAGAATGTCAGGCTGCAGGGCTCTTTCCCAAAGAGGAGGCCATCATAAGCATGCTCCTGAGATGAGGCACTGACCATTTAAAGGGAGCTGTGGTAGACAATTCTATCACTCTCCAGCAATAGGGAAGAGGAGCTTAATGGAAAAATGTATCACTTTGTAAAGGCAATGGATGGAAAGGTTCTTGTCAGGGAAAAAAGTACTTTGTACATTTTACAAATACTAATGAACCAGAAGAGTTAAGGGTATCAAAGGAAGTGAATGTCTTTGATAACCTCTACTCTAGTATATGCCCAGATTAGGGAAATCAATTCATAGGGATCAGCAATAAAACTAGACCTATCTTTAAATGATGCTTTAAAATTTGGGAAGAAAAGCTGGTTTATAAATTTTGTGATAAAGAGTGAAATCACATTTATACCCTTTTAAAAACCATGAGAAGTCTCAGAAGATTAGCAGCAAGCACAACAGCAACAATATGTATTGGAAGGAGGGGCAGGAGAAGGACAGGGAATGGGAAAAAAAGAGTAGAAGGTGGAAAAACAATGAAAATAGAGCTTTTGATTTTTTTTGATTTTTTAAAATTAAATTCTTTTATTGGTACATTGTAGGCATACAACACAATTACATTTCTCAGTGGGAATTGTACCTTTACATGATGCATCTTGGTTCTTATTTTTTCCCCATTCCTAGCCCTCCCTTCACACCCTCCACCCTTCCCTATTTACAAAGACTTTATTTCCATTTTTTCCATTTCTCATCATTTTTCCTTTCCCTTCTTTC